ATCTGGTGCCGCTGCTGGAGTCGTCGGAACTGGTTTCCAAGCCGTTCCCGCCACCATGGCTTACCTACCCGTCATGACCGTTCCCCATGTTGCTACCGTCGCTGGAGGTCAACAACAACAACAACAACAAGGAGGAGCCGGAGTCGGAGGACAACAACAACAACAACAACAACAACAACAAGGAGGAGCCGGAGTCGGAGGACAACAACAACAACAACAACAACAACAAGGAGGAGCCGGAGTCGGAGGCCAACAACAACAACAACAACAAAAACAATCCAAAAAAGTCGTTAAAACCGTAACCACTAAAGTCGTTACTACCAAAAAACAAAAACAACAACAACAACAACAACAAGCTGGAGCCGTAGTCGGAGGTCAACAACAACAACAACAACAACAACACCACCTTGCTGGATACCGTACTGCTGCCCCCGTTTACACCGGATACGCCGGAAGATACGCTGGAGCCGTTGCCGGAGCTGCTGCTGGTGCCCGTGGCCTAGTTTACTAAACGACTAATTAGGATAAAACTCTCAAATGATCAAAAAAAAAAAAAATTTATTTCAAAATTCATTAACATTTGTAACTGTCATCCTTTCGAATACACTATAAATAACCACTCTTTTTTTTTTTGGAAATGTATCATCTTTCAGCACAAATCTAAAATAAAAATTTTGCATTCTTAAATTTAAAATTTTTTTATTAATGTTTTATTTCCATTTGAATAAACTTCAATCCAGATTAAACTATTTCCTTTTTTATTCTTAATAATAATAATAAGTTAAGATAGTTTTTATTAAGGGATGAATGGGGCATTTGTTTCTTCTTCTCAACTTAATTGGGAAGAACGTGCTATCAGAACGTTACATAAATTATAAATAAATAAATAAATGTCCTCTACTATGCCCACCCTCACAAGTGGCTAGATTTGGTTGGGAACACAACAAGTCCTACATGACTACGAGTCAACAGGAATTGATATGTCACAAGTAGAAGCACAAAGTAGATTTTGGTGTGATCATCGAGATAACATCAATATAAAAACCATAACAATAATTACCAAAATATTTAACAATGTTGTGCTGCTTACTATTACAAATCTTTTAAATTTGTAGCCATTGAAGGAAAAAGTCATTTCATTCAGATAAACAAAGAGTCTTACTCTTTAAAGATTTGAATTAAACTTAATTTTTACTTATCTTTTGTAAATGAGTCAATTGGCGACAAAATTGAGGTGTTCATTTTGAAGTATTGGTTGTTGAGTAAGAATGTAGCAATTTTTAAATGAATACTATCTAAAATCAATAAGAAAATGTTTATTATACATTGATTTCCTGTTGGACAATGTGTATTACATAAAAATACATTAAAAATGCATGAAAAAAAGTTGCATTTATATGCACTGAAAAATTTTTGTTAAGTACAAGCAGAATAATTAAATAAAAATTTTTGTCAAACTATCTAACTTACTTTATATTCATTTCAAAAATTTGGTTCAATATTGTGTGTGTTCAAATAGTAACCATTAAAAGGAAGTGCCAGGTTATTAACCACATCCA